ATATCAAAAGCAGTTTCTGAAATGAGGTCTTCCATATATAACAACAACAACAACAGCAATGGATAATATCCCTGGAAAATGTTTATAAAATATTGCAGGAGAGTCATTTATTTCTTCAAATAACAATAGTTCATCTCATAATACTAACAAAAAACCACTTAGTGTAGGTAATTTTTCAGAAACCTGAGTTTATTGAATTAAAATATCTATTCTACTTGTTCTAACTCCATTCAAGAGAAACAATGGTGTTAACGTCTTTTAGACTATCTTCTTTTTATTTTCATTTGAGTTTTATAGAAATAAATGTAAATATATGCAGCATGGTGAGAAGAGTCTCTAACAAGGCAAACTCAGGAAATAAAAAGAGAAGTTATATCATATAACACTGATACTCAGATATGGGCCAACCTATATTATGCATCAAGTCTTGCTTTTAGGGTTTTAGCTTTTGTAGGTGCTACTGAATTTAAGATCAGGATATCTTGGAAAAATTAATTGCTTTTCTGGAACAGTTAACAAATATTCTTCAGAGAAGTATCTGAAGTAATTTGAGAGTCAAAGACCCACACCAGAATCACTAGGCAACTTGGAATATTTGTCTAAGTATTAACTTAATGATTGCATAACTTATTGGGTTGTTAAAATCTAATGAAAATTTATTAGATTTATTTTTCATAAAATATGCTCTTTTATATTCAACACTCAGGATTTTATGATTTCAGATGATTGGTAACAGTTGGTGAAAATATGTAGAAAACTATCATAATATGGCTGTTCTATGTCATGCTTTATAGAATCTATTTGGAGCAAAGACAGAGAAATTTTGGTTATTTTAGCAATCAAGATCCGCAGGGTTTTGATAACTCCACTGAAATAAGAATGCATACCTACATAGTCTAATGTCTGCATGCATTCAGTGAAGAACTGCAAATACATTTGTTGGAATGTAAACTCTTTAGGGAAAGTGTAGAAGAATTACACATGAATAGATTTTGTATTAACAATAGTAGAAAATTAGCCAGTGTGGATGCTAAGACTCTCAACTATAGTCAAAATATATGTTTTGATAACCTACTTCCATGGGAATAACTAAATTTCTTTATCAAAGTCAGTAAGAAACATATGTTATTGCTGTTGTTGTTAGATACTGTTGAGTCATCTCTGAGTCACAGTGACCCCTATGCACAGCAGAACGAAACACTGCCTGGTCCTCTGCCAGCATCATGATCCTTGCTATACCTGAGCCCATCATTGCAGCCACTGTGTTAATCCACCTTGTTGAGGTCCTTCCCATTTTTTGACCCTCCACTTCACCAAGCATGATATTCTTCTCCAGAGAATGGTCCCTTCTGACAACATGACCAAAATAGATGAGACAAAGTCTGGCCATTCTTGCTTCCAACAAGCATTCCGGCTGCACTTCTTCCAGGACAGATTTGTTAGTTCTTTTAGCAGTCCATGGTACTTTCAGTATTCTTTGCCAACACTACAACTGAAAAGCATGAACTCTTCTTCAGTCTTCCTTGTTCATTGTCCAGATCTCACATGCATAGGAGGTGACTGAAACTACCATCTTTGCTCTTCAGCACTTGGAAGGTCAGCATTTTGGAAGGTCTTTTGCCTAATGCAATACATCATCTGATGCCTTGACTGCTGCTTCCATTGGTGTTGATTGTAGAACCAAATAATATGAAGTCTTTGACAACTTCAATCTTTTCTCCATTTATTGTAATGCTGCTTATTGGTCCAGTTATGAGGGTTTTTGTTTTCTTTATATTAAGGAAACATATAGTTCAATATTTTATGAATTACTCTATTTTGGGGGTCTTCTAGCTTAGAAATTCTAAATAGTTCACAAGAGCTAAGTCCTTAGTTTTTAGTCCATGTGAGCTAAGCTTATTGACTGCTGCTTTTATAATACAGTATAGCCTCACCTATTAAATAAGCATATACTTTACAACTCCTTTGTACAAATATATTAAAAACTTGTTTATAATGTTTTGTTGACTTGCTAAATGTTTCATAATAAGCATTTACAAACAGTCACACATTGAAAATGATAGCTTTTCTTCATGTCCACTTCTAAAAACATAACAGAAGATTTTTGTCTAATGTTACTTCATTTTCTTAAAATTGTGGATTTTATCATAAATACAAATTTATAATTATGTGGATGAAGGATATTCTCGTATAATATTTAAGTATAATCACTATCTATATAATCATGCCTCAGCAGGAATAAAGATTCAAAATGACACACACTCCTCCTTCACATTCCATAACAATGAAGAAATACGTTACACAAATCAAAATTCCAAGTTAGATGGTGGATTTAAGCTATTACTTGTAGTAATATATTACGAAGTAATGTATAAAATTAAAATTGACCCAACTACAATATCAATTTTCAACTATGTCATTCATCTAACATTTAGTTATGTAAGATTTTGGCAGCCCTGTGGGTAAAGCATTGGGCTACTAACCAAAAGTTCAGTGGTTCGATTTCACCAGCACTTGCTAGGAGAAAGATGAGCCAGTATGATTCCATAGAGAGCTAAAGGCTTGGAAACCCTATGGGGTGGTTCTATACTGTACTATATGGGAACTATGAGGTGGAGTCCACTCGATGGCAGTGGGTTTGGTTATTTATTTATTTATTTTTTGCACTATTACTTAAGCTTTCACTTCTCATAGCTTGTCCCCTCAACAAATCATGAAGATCTGGGAACATGCTCTATTTTCCTAATGAACAAGTTAGATATGCCTTGTTTTCATCGCTTTATGTAATTTTATGTATATTATATATCTGCTGTATAAGTGAACAAACAAATCAATCAATGAATGAAAATTACCAAAGTTAAGTACTGGATCATTTCTACACAGTATATTTCCCAATAGTGTATAAAAATCCTTGAGTTTGATTAGTCAACTTTTTGTCTTTCTCTATACATACCAAAACGCTTATACCAAATAGATGCCTAATATTGCATGTTGCAGGGAAGAAATCCAAATAATAAAAACTGTATTAATATAAGTATTTTAAGTATTCTTGAGAAAATTTAAAAATTCTGTGATAAAATATTTTTCTCTTAAATAATGATTAAAATAAATTCTATAATATGAAAAATAATATACTTTTTATATTAAAGAAAAGGATCTCTAAATAACATTAAAAGATTAAGAAAAAAAAAACAGCAATGTCAGATATTGGTAAAAATTAAAATTTTGATGCATGATATTATTAACCTTATTGTTTTTGAAAAAGGAGAATATGTATAGTGCATTACATTATAGATGAGATAAACTTAGCTGGAATTATACTTCATCTGCTGAGTGATGATGACCCTAGGCTTTTACACTTATTTAGATATTCCTTTTGTCATCTGTGTCCTATTGGCCAGATAAAAAAAGGACAGAGAGAGAAAAAAAAAAAAAAACAACTTTGTGAATCTTTCAATAATTCAGGAATGAAGAAAATACCTTTGCTTCCTTCTAGCAATCTCCATTTTCTTTTACCCATACTAACTGTATTGTCATAATTTAGTTTGATCAGGCACAGCTATACCATTTTTATTTTAAAATACTTTGTGTACCACAAACTCCAACTCCAATGTAATTATCCTGAAAAGTAAGCAAAAAGTTAAGTGGAGTTTTCTGCAATTGTATAGTACAAATGTATTGGTAAACTTTTTTTAGATGATGGACTAAATAATATTTGACTGGCAGTATTTTTGGAGTTAATGTTTATTGAGTGAGATTTCCATGTGATTACATAATTCTCATAGCTCTATAAATGGGGAGTTACCCTTTCCAGAAGAGTAACCTGAAAGGCAGGCAATTTAAGTAATTTGCCCAGGTCACCAGCTAGAAAGTGGCAGATCCAGAACTCAAAACCAGGTTCTCTGGGCCAGAACCTGAGCTCACAACCACCTGGAAAGACTCCTTCTCTTTCATGAATAGTAGTTTCTTCTTCAAAAACATTTTCACATGCCAAGGTTGAAAAACTGACAATAGACAGTAAATTTGTCACTTTTGTCATTCATTTCACAGGATTATAAATCTGCAAAATGATTTCTGAAACCTCTCCTAATACCCTAAGTCTTATTCTCACCCCTCCCCAGTTCCCTAATAAATTAGAGGGCACAGACACAAACACTAAGAGTCTTGACTTTTATGGCACTTTCTTAGATAAAAGTAGAAAGAAAGGTTTCAGAAAATTTCTAACACATTTCTGCTCATATGCATAAAAAGATAAATGAAAAAAAAAAACATACATCCTAAATGTATGTGCTATTTCTAGATATAACAGAACTAAGTAGAATAAAGTTCAGAAAACACTGATATCTAATATCCAGCCCAGAAAGTTATCTAATATCAGCATAACATCATCCATCTATAAAGCCCAGCTGCACATAAAGTTCATATTACCACCCGCAAGCACACAAATAAACATACTGAGTACAACAAAGCCTTGTTTTTTTCCATGAGGATATTTATTTCTTGATCTTCATGTTCTAAGCTTGTTGTTTGTTAACCATTGGTATGAAAATGTTACTGCTTTGATGGATTCATCCATTTCCTTTCACTCCAAAGAAAGCCATTCTCACATGCCACCTTAAGCAACAACTGGTGTTTCAGTCCAAGACTTGATTAAGCTCAGATCCACTTAAGCAGCACAGAGAGAAAGCAAACATGAAAGAGATGCTGGTTCTCATGGACTTTTTGCTCATATTACCCTCATTTTCTATATCATAGTACCAGGTGGGCCTGTGAGCACTGGTCTCACAAAATATTCCTTATTAAATAAACAAAGGGAATAAATACTTCAGGAAGATGAAAAGGAAAAGGGGAAAAAACAAACGAGCAAACAAAAACCTCTTTGACCTGACATTATGGAAAAAAAAAAAAAAAAAGACACTAAGATGAAAAAAAAAATTGTGTCATGGTTTACATGTGGGATTTTGATGGAATCTAGGGCTGTGTTTTAATTCAAAACTCACCATCTCAAAACCACTTCTTTTCATCCGCCTGCAGGACTTGAGGTAAGTACGTATACGTTTTCTGGCACGCTCTTGATACTCAGGGAATTGTCGCCTGCATGAGTCAATGATAGCTTGGATCTTTTCTTTGGGCTGCTTAGAGATTGGGACCATTCGGTCCAAGTTTTCATCTACAAACAGCCTGACAAACATCTGTTGGCAAGAGGGAGACAGAGGAGAAGGGTTTGGAGGGCTGCTCTCTTCTGTTCCTAGCTTCCTGTCTTGATTACCGATAGGAAAATACTCTTTTCTGGTTTATGCACTGGCGTACTTTGCAATGGAAAGCCAGAAATTTTAAGCAAACACTCTTTAAAGACTTTCTAAAAGGGTTGGATAAAAATTAGAGAGAAAGAGAGAGAGAGAAAGACAGACAGACAGGCAGACAGACAGAATAGACTACTGTGTAGAAAATAATCAGGAAGTAACAGTAGACTGTGACAATCAAGCACCCCATAAAATTCTCTATTAATGATAACTACAAGTACTACATTGCTACATTACACAGTGTACTAATCTCTGAAAACAAACAATTGACTCTTTTGTCATGCATAATTAGATAAGCTGGAAAGCAAAAAATAAACAAATAAATAAATAACTGATGACGGGCATATTCTTCCGATGGGTAAGCTGAGGCCCCCTTCATCCACTAGGTAAACATGCATACTCACACAACACAACTCCAGTTTTCAGCTCACATTTGGCTTTAAAATTCTAAACAAAATACAGCAATTCTGGTGTCTGGTTGGCAAAGAGTGTTTCATGTACTTTTTAAATCCTTCTGTAAATTAAACAAACATGTCTCTAAAATAGCCACATTTACCAACAAGCAACAACATGAAAGTGAAGTGGCAAAAATGAAACCACACCAAGAGTGTGGAAGGACTCACATTGAAAGCTTTCAACCGCTCAGCGTCCACTCCATCTGTCTCATTTACTTTCTCAGAATCCTCATGGTCATCGTGCTCATCTTCATCCTCATCTCCCCTGTTTAGTGATAGGTCCTCAGCACCTCTGTCGACACTCTCATTTTTGCCAGAGTCATAGCTTGAGTAACTATGGGCAGGAGACTGAAAAGAAGGGGGAATTTCTCCTTTAATTTTATTGCCCAGTATTATACATTTTTTGTTTATTCTTAATTTCATCTGTTTCTCAAAAATCTTTTCAGTTGGTAACTCTAGAGTTCTAGCTATTCTAATTAACTCAAAGTTAATTAAAATTACATTAAATTAAAAATTCACTTCTTTAGTCACCCTGGTCACATTTTCAAGGGCTCCATAGCCATACGAAAATTTCCATCATCGCAGAAAGTTCTACTGAACATCGCTGGTCCAGAGCAATTACTGTCTCCACTTATTATCTATATTCTAAAAATACTCAAAACTGCTATTAATTTTGCAAGAGAATCATAGAATCACATATTCTAGGAAATGGAAATACCTCAGAGCTTAGTCAATTTAATTGTATTTTTATTCCAAAAACAGATGAGAAAACTGAAGAATGGATATTTTTATTAACTTGCCCAACAAGTACTGTGCAGGCAGTCCTAGGTTACAAATGAAATCCATTTCTAAGACTGTCTTTAAATTAAATTTGTAGGTACACTGGAATAGGTACATATGGTTCTTATTTAGTGTCAGTCAAATGTTTGTCTTAGTATATAGACTATATATTACCTTTCTATGCATATAAAACACTTAAGAAACACTCCCACATACATTAGAACATCTTAAACATAGTAATACAGTACATAAAAATAATAATGCAGTAATAATAAAAGTAACTAAATATGGCACTGTACTGGAGAGAGAGAGAGATTCTCTGTGTGTATGTGATTAGGTATACAGTATCATAAAAACACAGTAAAGAAACAGTTCCTTAAAAGGTTCAGAAAAAACACAGCTTACATAAAGAAAAGGTTCAGAAAAAATACAGCTTCCCTGCTATACCTTGCACTTTAGTATTACGTAGGTTTCCCCTCACTTTGAAACAGGACTTTGACCTATTTAAAATGATTCAATTGTGGCCAATGGGAACAAAGGAAGCATGTGTGTTACACAGCAAACAATCTCGTGTGTCAGATTTTGGCCTGCATAGGAAACAAGCAAGGAGTTCTGGTGGCACAGTGCCTAAGGCATTTGACTGCTAAACAGAAGGCTGGCAGTTCAAACCCACCAGATGCTCCACAGAAGGGATATTTACATAAAGATTTATCATGTTGGAAACCCAATGGGGGTCGCTATGAGTTGGAATTGACTTGACAGCTGTGGGTTTGGTTTTTGGTTTTAAGAAACAGGCAGTGGTGCTTGACTCAAAGATGGTGGCTGATGGATCCCATTCAAAGCAGCACAGTCTGCTGCAATTGTTGAGGGGTGCACCACTGCCTGTTTCCTACTCTGGTCAAAATCCAATGCACAAAAGCATTAGGTCCTATGCAACACGTACCACTGTCCTTGTTTTCATCAGCCATGACTGGACCGTTTTGAACAGGTTCAAAGACCTGCTTTGAAATGATGATTGAACCAATCCCTACTTGCAAGAAATTCTTCAATCCAAAGCAGCTTCACTTGCTGAATGTGAAGCTTTTAAATCACTGTAAAGGTTTCAAGCTTTTCTTGCACTAAAGGAAGGTTGATAGGCATATTACACTGACTTTGATCATCTAGCCAAATTATCAATGGCTTGTCATTTCAATGATTAAACCATTGTGTTACTTAGTAATAATTGTAGCTTTCATTGGAGCAGAGCCTTCCATATGCTCCGTTATTTTCACTTTATCCTTTGAAATTGTTCTGATCGTTGACTGACTATAGTTTAATGCTTTTCCAATGACTGATGGTATTTCATCTCTTTCTGATCACTTTATTACTTCCACTTTATTTTCAAACATCATCATTTTCCTTTTCTTTGATGCATCATCAGCACTTGCATCAGATTCTCGCTTTGGAGGCATGGTTACAAGAGTAAATAAGAGGAATATTTAAGCCAAATGCAAAGTTTCACACTCAACACAGTGTTACTGGCAATGTGATCTGACTTAAAAAGGTGGATGGTGTTCTCCTTCCTTGAGCCACAAGTTGCTTAAGCTGCTCAGTGTTTTCAGGACCATCACAAAGTCGTGCATATGTCGGTTATTACGAACCAGTGCATTTAATGCAAACTCTCAATACAATAGGCTTTATGGTAATCTGTTCTTAAGTATGAGTTGTCCTTAACTTGGATATTCTCAAATCTGGGGACTTATTGTACTATATATTATTGATATTAGGGTGTTTAAAACTGTTAGTAAGACAATATGCTTTAAAATCAGCTTATAAATTGCCTATGAGTCTTAAGATGGCCTCTGATTTTAGTTAGAAGAAAAAGATTAACTTTATTTGTAACCTGCTAACCTTTGTTTGTTGTTGTTATGTGCTGTTGTTAGTTCTTCCAAATTCCAACACTATACAAAGGATGTGATAAATTTAAAGCAAGAACAATTGAATAAGTAACTGTGGCACATATTCCAAAGTAAAAACTATTAGTTCTGAAATTTTTTTAAGAAACCATTTTCACATATTGTCATTTAAAATGTGAAGTGGACCTTCATAGAGGTCCAGTTGTCAGCCATGTAATGTGTGTGTGTGTGTGTGTATGTGTGCGTAGATAAGGGACATTTCAATAAAAAGCTAAATTTTGATTCTTTTTCATTTTGAGATTGCAAACATACAGAATAATAAAATAATTCCTCCTGGGACACTTTAGGCTAATTCTAGAGTCAGTTTGGGAGAAAAGATCTAGAAGAAAAGGAAATTCAAGAATATGGTGGGGTAGTTCAAGTTATGTGTCAACTTTACTGGGCCTGGTTTCGAGTGTCTGAGCAGCTGGATCCCGTTTATTCACCATAGTGAGACTGGTAATTAACTCCATGGTGGAATCTACTGGAGCAGCTGAGTAGTTGCTTTGTGAATGTGGTCTGTTTCCAATCTATGAAGCAACTTTGGGGAAGGTCTCCAGCTCTTTGGCATGCTTGGACTCTGCATGCAGTCAAGTCTTCATTTAGCAGCATGCTGTGTTGCCCTGCCAATCTTGGGACTTTTTCAGGACTTGAATCAATGGCCTGCCATGTCGTTTGGTAACATCAAGACTGTGCCTTTTTACTTGTTGACCTTGAGTTTGTCAGCCTTAACAGCCAGCGGCGGCCTGAATGAAGGAAGCCTCCAGCTTCAGTGGGCCAGAACAAGAGGCAGAGCTGAAGCCTGAAGGTTGAGGGGCTTTCATCCAGCCCCTGGAGCCTGGCATTTTGAACTTGGACTTCTAGCCTCCAAAACTGTAAGAGAATAAACCCCTGTTTATTAAAGCCATCCCATTTGTGGTATGTTCCTGTTGGAGCAGCACTAGGTAACCTAAACATCAGCTTGACTCAGCAGTGTATAGAATAATAATAACCTATGTCACACAAGCCCTTTGGAACCATCATGTTGCTGTTGTTAGGTGTCATCATAGTGGCCAACAACCCGGAAAGCATATTGTAGGTGTCTTTGAAAAGACTCTAAATTAAGGTAGAAGAGAATTTAAAGAGAAATATTCTATACTTAATTTATTTATTTCTGAGACATCAAATACAATAAAGCAAATAATGAAGAAAAACAGGGGAGAAAAAAAGAGAAGGAAATTAACACTCAGAACTACTCTATCTGAATTGGTTTCCCATGAGGAGATATTATCCTCCATATTCTGCAGATGAGGAAACACTTTCTGAAAGGCTAAATAAGTTCCTCTAATGTAGATAATGATATAATTAGTATCTGTACTTAGTTCTTTCTTGAGCTAACAGAGTTGGGAAAAAAGGTTTTGTTTTTTTTAATACAGATTATACACACTTTCCTAAGTGTGAGTGCATGTGTGTGAAAAATTGAAATAACACAAAATATTTATTGGTTTATGTACATGTTAATATGAAAGCAATAATAAATCTATTAATGTAATAATAAACATATTTTCTACAAAAAGAAATTGTATGTATTATTTATAACATTTTCTTACAGAAAAGTAACCTTTGATTTATAAATCTTCAATAACAATAAACATTATCACTTGCTTTAAAATTCCCAAATATAACCTACTTAAAGAATTATTGCTGCACACAATTTTGGTTATTTGTTTCTATTGGGTGTTGTGTGGCTGTTAGGTCCTGTCGAGTCAGTTCAAACTCACAGCAACCCTACACACAACAAATGAAACTCTGCCTGATCTTGCCCCATCTTTATAATCTCTGCTATTCTTGAGCCAATTGTTTCAGCCACTGGGTCAGTTCACATATCTGAGCATCTTCCCCTTTTGTGCTGACCCTCTGTTTTACCAGCATGATGTCCTTCTCCAGGAATTGGTTCTTTCTGACAGCATGACCAAAACACATGAGATGAAGGTATGCCCATTCTAGTGTCTAAGAAGCACTCCGGCTGTACTTCTTTCAACACCTATTTGTTAATTCTTCTGGCAGTCCATTGTATTTTCAATATTCTTGTCCAGCACCATAATTTGGAAACATTAATTTTTCTATGGTCTTCCTTATTCATTGTCCAGCTTTCACATGCATATGAGGCTACTGAAAATACCATGGCTTAGATCAGTCACACCTTAACTTCAAAGTGACATCTTTACTCTTTAATACTTCACAGAAATATTTTTGCAGTCAACTTGCCCATGTGTGTGAAATAAATCATGTGATTCTTTGACTGATGCTTCCATGGGCATTGATTGTGGATCCAAGTAAGATGAAATCCTTGACAACTTCAACCTTTTCTCCATTTATTGTTATGTTGCTTACTGGTTCAGTTGTGAGGACTTTTGTTTCCTGTTTATTGAGGTGTAATCCATACTGAAGGCTGTAGTCTTTGATCTTCATCATAAGTGCTAGTGCATAAATTAGAGGAAAGGTATCTTACTCTATAATCAAAGGAAAAAAACTAAGTTTTCTTAAACAAGAAGCATCTATAGGAAGAAACACTGATCAACATTTTTTTTCAACTTTAGAAATGAACATACTTTGGAATATATTTTATTTAGGAACAAAATATATTTAAGAGAA